GTGGGACATCAAGGAGGCACCACGAACCACTGAGATGGCCATGAGCATCCCTGGGGTGCTCAAGGCTGGGCTGGGTGGGGCCCTGGGCAGCTTAATCTGGTGGGGGCAGCTGTAGCCATGGCAGTGAGACTGGAGCTCAATGACCTTTGAGATCCCTTCCAACCCAAGGCATTCCATGAAATGCACCCTGCTTTTAGAGACAGGCATCAGTGTTCTCACTTCATCCACCTGCTCTTTGCCAGGTCAACCAGCAAAGGCAACCAGAGTTCCCTTGCAAGAGCCCAGTCCCATAAAACATGCATGCATGGCATAAAAACACAAGCAGAAGAGCACTGCCTTTTCAGATCACTGCTCCGAGTTTGCTTTCTCCCTTTGCTTTTTTGGGAAGGCATTGGCAGTGCTCCCATAGCACTGGGGCTGCCCCAATGCACCCACAGCCTCCAGCCAGGCTCATCCTTCAGAGCTTGCAGGGGCTTTGGGAGCTCAGCTCAATGACTTCACCTTATGCTCAGGTTGGGCTTCATCTCTTTCATGAGAATCACCTGGTAGCCCACTTCATTGAGTGCTCAAGCTGTGGAGAGAAGGAGGAAAGTATATAAGTAATAAAACGCATATTGGTCCAGTTTCCTCAATATCAAACTCAGTGCTCTCGTCTAGTTCTTATTTTTTTTTTTTTTTTCTATTTAAGTACTCTACAACCATTAATAAGCTTACACCAGCCCAGAATGCCATTAGGACTCAAGGAATTAGGATCTTGCCAGGATCCGGACAGCAATACTTACAAAGGGCTTTGTTTGACTTTGTTTTGGGTCTCTTTCCATCCAAGAGACATTTTTAGTTTGGCTGACACTCTTTGCAATTACGAGTTGGTGGCAGAAAGCCAGAACCCAAATCTGCTTTCTGAGCCCAACACAGCGCGTTTGTGCCAAGGTAGGGTTTTACAACTTCTAAATGCTTTGTAATCAGCTAAGCAGGTTTTGCTCCTGTCGGATTTGCCTTTGTAGTTTCAGTAAGGAAGTAGATGGTTTTCCTTCCTGCAATGCCTTTATCTACAAATGGCATCAAAACTGAAGGTTGTTGTGCAGATGAGAGCTGCAGGTGGGGCACTGCTGCTCTCCTTTTCATGCCCTCCGTGTCATTACCTCATTTGTGCAGGTTCTGTCTCAGAAAAGCTATGCTTGCTTACAGCTGTTCCTCATTGCCAGGAATGTGCCAATTGCTGGGAGGAGCCTAAATTTAGCCTGAATTTCAGGCCCAGGGCTGCTCCCCATCCTGCCCCTTCCCCTGACAGTGGTACTGGCAGAGTCTGCTATATTTTGTGTCCTTTGACCTGAGGCTGTCTGAGCTTCTGAAGCTTTTTGTTTGAGCCAGACTTGGGACTTTCAGGTGAAGCAGCCTCTTCTCCAGTGGTAGGATGCTGTGCTGTCCTTGTGGGGACTTGTGGGGACGTGGCTCAGGTAGTGACACATGTCACACAGGGCTGGGACTCTCCCACTGCTGCTCTGGGCCCTTGAAGCCTTTTCATAGATGGATTTTAAGAATGGGGGGATGCATGGAGAGCTACAGGGAAGGAGGTTCCTTCAAGGCAGTTGGAGAAGGCCAACTGGACAGACACCAAAAACCTTGTGTTAGACTGCTGTGTCGAGGGCTCTGCCCTGGACGCCATGATTGATAGTGGTGTTGGAGCACAGTCAGCTCTGCAACGTGGCTGCTTTGCTCAGGGAAAGCAGAGGGCCTAAGGCTAGACCCCGAGTTCATAGAATATCCCAAGTTGGAAGGGACCCAACAAGGATCCCTGACTCCACACAGGACCACCCAAGAAATCAAACCCTGTATCTGAGAGCACTGATGTGCTCCCAGAAGGCACAGGCACATGGGTAAGATGGTGGGCATCAGACAAGGAATTTGTGGGATTTGACTATGGTGCCTTCACCTGTTGCTGGGAGCTTTATGAAAATAAGAGCAGGAGGCTGCTGGAGGGCAACAGGAGGAAGCAAAGCTGGGGCATGTGCAAGTGCCCGGCCCAGGTCACAGCTCCTTCCATCCCTGCTGGCACAGCAAGGATGCTCTGCATACCATCTGAAAGGCTGCAGGAATGTATTTTGACTCTTCTGCTGAGCCTACATTTGGGAGAAAAAGATGGAAAAAAAAGTGAGGCCTATTTATGGATACTAAAGATAGCTTGAGGCATCACAGACTATAAGTCAAAGGAGCCTGCCCCTTATTATTGCACTTTCCCTAGATATAATTTGGTACCACATTTTTACATTAACGAGTCTCCACTACAACACTGTGAGAGAAAACTCATTTTCAGATGGAAGAGGTATAGTACTCTTGGGAAGGGATAGAGCCATCTCATAGCAGGGGCTATATTTTTCACCAAGGTACTGAGCCCTGACAATGAGCTTAGAAAGAGGGAATCTCTCAGAGGTGGGTTCAATTCATCCTTTCACACAACATCAGCTCTTTGTCCCAGGCCCTACTATGTAGTTGAGTGGATGTTGCTTGGTCGCCTTTGGCTTCCTGTTCATGTGCTACAGCATTGTGCCATTACTGCTGGATACCGCCCTGCAGCTGCACTTTGGCATCTTATCACTAACAGCTTGGAGATTTGCATTGCATTTTGTCACTTACAGCTGGGAGATTTTTATTTTTCACTGTGGAGTGAGCTGGAGCTGCTCTCAGCATCACTGCCCCCGGGGACATGTGAACAAGGAAATTCAACAACAAACAGAAAACCAGATACAGTTGTTACAGATACCATGCACATCAGATTTGGAAGAGATCCTTGTAATGCTAAAATAATCTTCCAACATGCATTGCCAGGCTCTGATTGCATAGGCTCAGGGCTGATCCTCCTGAGGAGCACAGGAATTACCACCTGGAGCTGAGATGCATGTTATAGATCCAGATAGGACCTCCTCCTCTGTGAAGGGAAGGAGCAGAGCTGAAGGTGCAGAAAAATAGCGTGAAACAATGGAAAAATATGTGAAACTTCTGTGTTTGCTCCCTGGGATTGGGAGCACACCAAAACACACCTTAGAGGCCAAGGATTTTCTTCACTATCTATAGTTTTCTCATCATGGTTTGTATTTTGATGAAGCTTCCCATATTTCCATCCATTCCTAGGGTCAGTAGCAATGCTCTGGGACCCTCCCAAGATCAAGGCGTCCCCCCCAGAGATAGTACCAGGCCCACGGGTCTGGTTTCTCTCCCATTACTAGAAGCACCACTACACAAATAGCTAGCTTGATTAAGCACAAACCCACTTAAATTTTCCAGTCACCCTGCCCATCACAGCTTTCATCATAGGAAAGAATGATGAATAGCACCAGCATGGTGCCTAAATCAGGGCTGTACTGAGAAGTAGACCTCCCAGGTTTCCTCAGAGCCTGGCAGGACTCAGCCATCTTCTTGGCCCAGCCACTTCCTCTGAAATTGCTTCAAGTCTTTTAGTGACTACCTGTCTCAGAGTTGAAATGCTCTGACAGCAGCTGTGGTTTTGGCAAAGGCACTCCTATGAACTTCCTGCTCAACATCAGAAAGTCAAGTCTGTGGTTTGATGTATGCTGCTTGCTCTGGCACAGAGTTTGGGCTGAAATGGAACCAGTTCCTCCCCAAGCCTGATATTAAATCACAGCCTGTTTCATCCTGCCAGGAAACCTCATTCCTCCTCCACACAGGCACCTTTGGCCAGCCCCAAATGAGAGCTTGACCTCCAGCTTCCTTCTCTACCAGGATCCTGAAGTGATTGCCTTCTTGGCTGTATCTAATGAGGTAATCTGTGGAGTCAGTTACATGGAAAACATACATCACTGGTTCGGCACTAGGGCAGTGCAGGGCTGCACTGGAATAGGAGTGGGGATGTTCTTCTCAATCTCTAGGCACACGAGCAACAATCACCCAGAAATAAGTAAAGAAATAAGTAAGCCCCAGCCCTGCACCTGCTGGCCTGAGATATGAGACCCCAGAGCACCGCCATATATCACCTAAGGTGTGATATACTCTCTGCTGGACTCATGAATACAGCCTAAGAGAGGAGAACTGAAGGGAAGGAATGATTACTATGGCTAATGTGGGACTTGGCTGTCACTCAGAGCCTTTCCCTTTTCATACATTCCTCATCACTACATTCTGTGGGGCTTAACTAGTTTACCTGCTCTTTGAGCATCATTGCCATTACCAAGTCACTGGCTTGCCCTCCAGGGGCAATAAGGACAGTGAGATGCATAAGATGGAGCTATAGCCAACCCTGTGCAACTCTGCAGGAGCTTGGGATGCTCTGCAGCTTGCCCAGCATGCAAGACCAGTCCCTAGGCAACCTGCACCAGAGCCACTGGATGCACTGCAGGGAGTCTGCTGCCACTCAGCCTAGCCCTGGGTGTGCACAGGCAGGGGGCACTGAGCAGATGATCTCAATGCAGTCCTAAGGAAATCACTGCTTACCTTTTTTTTTTTTTTTTTTTTTTAAAGTCACAGCTTTAAAACAAATCTGACTCTGGCCTAAAAGTAAGACTGTATCCTCAAGCCTCCTAGAAAAACAGCACTAAGAACTTAGCTTTGGTTCTATTTTTCCATGAGAAAAGCCAAACCAATTACAGGACACTTTTAAATTCTTTAAAAAGCCCGAATAGAGACTTTTCTAGATGAAGAAAAAGATTCTGGTTCAGTAACAAAAGATCAGAAGAATGCAGGGCTGAAAGAAAGATACTGGTGGATAGAAGCATTGTTAAACACAACTGTGGTACAGAATGGGTTATGAAAACATTACCACCCCTTCCACCCCCCCACCCCCCCCATATTGATTCTTAAAAGTTTATCCCCACAGCAGTTTCATAGCTTTCTTGGGTAAGATCCTGTAAGTGATTTGAGGAAATACGTAATGGAGCAATATAATCTCTTCAAACATCTGTACTTGCACAAAACACAGCCAGCAGTCTCAGAGCATACCAGCTACAGCATCATCCTAGTTTAGTAGGAGAAAGGAGAGAAACAAGTACTGATGGACTTTATTCAATGTTTTATTTTTGTACAAAAAGGTTTAAAATGGTAAGCAGTCTGTATGCTAAGAAAATAAAACCTAATATGCCACACTATCCAAAAACCGTTTGTGTTTTCTCAGTTCTTGAAGTTGCAAGCTATGCCACAAGTTGATTTGGGCCCAGGTGGGGAATGCCAAACTGCTGAGCTCGTGCGTTTGAAATACCGAGGCTTGCTCTTGCCAAAAATATCTTCCAGCTTAGGGCTTGCTATTAACCCAAAGAGTTGGTCAACATTCACTGGATGATAGTACTGGTGCAGAATGGCTTGATTAAGCTGAGACCCTATGAAAACAACCATATCAGAGAAGCAGACTCAAATAAGTTGTCAGTGCTCTGCTTAAGGTATCCTTTCCTTTAGAGCCCACAAGACAGTTACTCTTCTTCATCCACACCCCCTAAACAAACACTGCAACTTGCACAGTGAATGCGATAAACAGTTCCTGCCCACTGTAAAGCAGTAAGCACGACATCCATCTCTGGGTTGCCAACAACATTTGTTTTACATCACTTGTCACCACACTAGAAATACACCAAACTTGCCACACCTTGGTTTAGTGCAGGGGGAGGGGCTGCTTCAAACTAGTGAGCCTGCACCATTCTCTCACACCCTTGAATCCAAACACACACAGAACTTTAGTTTAGCTTTAACACAACAGCACTTGCAAGAAAGCAGATCCAGCCCCTCTCACCAAGCAGCTGCCAACAGTGCTGAAGTCTCACACTCCTGAACTGTACTTTAAGGAAGCTGAGATCACACTGAACAGATCTGGAGAGCTCCTGCTTCCCAGGGAAGGAATGAAAAGACTAACCAAACACGGCACCTACCATCAGCCCAGGCAGGGACAGGCTTCCGAGGTTCATTCTCATCATCTGTGGAATCATCACTGTTCAGATCCATCCCATAGTTGTTGGGGGACCTGGATTCTTTTGTGCCATTTGGAGGCGCTAAGCAGGATGTGGAGATAGATCTCTGAAACCACAGAGACAACATTTATGAGAGCAGCAAACATACCTTGCAGCCTGACAGAAGAGTTTGCTTTGCCAGGGCAGGCTTACCCAGTCTGACCCCTTGGAGGCATCTCAAAGCTCTGGCGTTAGCAAGACAAACAGGTTGTACTAAGATCCCAGATTAGATCCCACAGCAATATGGTGCTAATGTATCTATGGTAGGAACCCTCACACTAACCCAAAGCCACAAGTTAAGAGGGAGGTTTACAGTGCCCTATGTTGGGCAAGGAACAAAGTAAAGGTAGCCAGAAACAAGAACTGACAGCAGACCTTCCAGAGCAGATTCTTCACATACACATTTTTTTTTCCATTCCTAATTTAAGAAACAGGAGAGCATAAAGGTTACTCAACTGTGTACGGGAAAACTTTCACCTACGCAGGAACTGAAACACTTGTAATATTCTTTTTTGACAGGTAGTTTGGGTTGAAATTTCCAGAAGTGCTCAAATCCTTCTGGCTTTTTTTTTTTTTTTTCAGATCTGTTTTGAAACCATGTCCTGATGAAAGCCAAGCCCAGAACTGTGTACCACAGCAGGAACTGCAAAGTGCAGAACTCAAACAGCTGCTTGCTCAACCTGCAGCATTCTAGCTGTGGAGAACTGCCTGCCAGCATCTGGTGAGGATGGAGCTAGGGCTCCATTTCCACTTTGAAACTGCAGGTCAGAACAGCACAAGACAAAGCCTGGAGGAACAAGCTGCCTTTGTGGTGAAGAACAGGGAATGCCTAGAAGACCTGACAGTTGCATGTAGTCCAGAAATGCCTAGAAGTACTGACCAGAAGACAAGCCAGTAAAGGCATCATTATGGAGATACTGCCACAAACTACTGGCATACCTCTCTGAAGTGTCTGTACAGTGGAGAGCACAGTAGGAGGAATAAACCTGATAAAACACTGATGTGCTGCAGTTGCAGGGCTGTAGTTATGCTAGGATCACAGAGGTGTAGTGCAAAGAAGGTGAAATCAAGTACTCTTTTTTAGTGCCCAGCAATACTACAAAAGGCAATGAGAGCAGCCTAAACTGAACAGTTCTGTCTGAATGCCAGGAAACACTTCTTTACCGTGGTTGTCCAGAGAAGACAACTTTCATGGAGATAAGGAAAACCTGTCTGAAAACAGTGCAACATAAGTTGGTTTACATGATCCTGCTCAAGCAGAGGTGTTGGACCAGCTACCTCCAGAGGACCCTTCACCTCCACTATTCTTTTAGCAGTGTTCTTTGCATTTAATCCAAATACAGAAATAAGGGAATACAGATGTGCTTGTTTACTCTGTAAAAGTACAAAAGCAGTCACTGTATTCTGTGACTTGTAAGCCTCTTCTGGCTTTTTTTGTACATTGCTCTATCGCTCAAGCCCATACACATGTTGATGGTAGATCTGATTTTCACTCTCTACAACTCTGACAAACAGAATAAAGTCAGCCACAGGAAAACAGACAGAAAGAGGCATTTACAATCAAAAGGGATATTCAAGGCTGACTGACTCTTTAGCAGCTTTTACTCCACCCCTCCCGACTTCAGGAGTAAACAGTTCAAGTCCAAACAAGCATCTGGAAATTTAAGCAGCTAAATAGACTTCACAGGCAAGCCTGAAGCAGTATTGCCACCGTGTAGCTGAAGGCTCTGCAAGCTAAACTGACACCTCATGGTGTGCTGCCATCCTGTGGTCATTTCCAGCATCTTTTCAAGGAGAAAACAATTGCTTTTCGTTTATGTTCTCCTGTGCTGAACTCTCAGCCAAGTATCAAATACGAAAAACTTCTCCATCCTCACTCTACACAACTTTAGTTAAACCCCAACAGTTTCTTTTGAGGATTTCACCTCCTGGTCACCTTCTTCATCACAGCCAAATAAGAAGTCAGCAGGTTAACAACAAAGCATAAGAGCAAATCAGATACCACAGATCCATTTCAAAGGCTCTGCTGGAACTGAAGCTCACCTTCACTGTTTTGCTCAGCCACGTGCTGGAGGCAGCAGTAAAAGATTCTGGTTGCTCATTTTTCTTCTCTTCAGTCAGCTGCTGCTGGGGATCCTGCAGACCATCTCCCTTCTGTCAAGATATAAGAATTAAGTTATTCATTAATGTTCACCCAAGCAAAACAAGCAGGCTATCTCTGGAATTTATTTTATGAAGAAATTCTCTACTCCTTTGTCTTCAGCAGGGTGAGGGGGAAGAAATTAAGGATCACACAGAAAGTGACAGCTGCCTTGGCTCAGATTCAGAACAGTAAAGTCTCTAGAGCCCACACTCTTATCACTTTCAGCTAGTTATTAGAGGACACTGCAGTGGATTCTGGTTGCTCAGCTCTCTTGTACTACCCAAGCACCTGGTGCAGATGTTTTGGGCTTCCTTCCTCCTAATAAAGAGGAAAGCATTACAGCACTTCAGCTCCTTTTCAACTCAAACTACTTGATCCAGGTGTTTCATCTGCCACTCTCCTCAACAGGGAAGAAGCTAACACAAGGGGAAGAGCTGTAGCCACTCTAAATTAGATTCAGCTTCTCTCTTACCTGGAGAAGCCTCACTATGCCCCAGTATAGTAACCAGTAACCAGCCCAGTTGCTGGTTATATGCTGGAATTCAAACTTTCATTAAATTTATTTAGCAAAAATAGGAGCCCCATGGCTAACAGCTTTAAATTAAGAGCAGTTGAAACAAAAAAGAAGAAAGAATTTATCCTCAAGAGCAGTACCATTTGGGACTTTGATTATGTTTTAAACTAGTGCAGAAGGCAGATGAGTGAGGCATTATTTAAAGTGGAAATAAAATATTACTATGATATTTTGCAACAAGCAGCTTTGACTAAGTAATAGCTAACCTTGAAACATAAAGAAGTGACAAAGGACTTGGAAAGCAACTCCCACCTTACAAAAAAAAAAAAAAAAAGAAGTCTGCATGTTCTATGCCTTACTGCTTTACAACAGAATTTGTCACAAGCCACTGTAATGCCTCACCGTTGTGTTTTTATCAGTAAACACCATGGACTCCATCTGTGAATAGGGGACCTTCTCTTTCCCCCGCTGTTTGAGATCCCTGGGAAACAAAAGTATAGTTTAGTTACACTGAAAAGCATGTTTCCACCCCTCCCTACTAGCTTTCTTATAAGCTCTTGCTTTAGTGCCCCAAACCTTTGGAATCACCTGACACTCACAGCAGATTCCCAATTGCAGAAATACTGTTTATATTTATTGCTGCAGCATGCTTGTTGCTAAGTCCCCCTCTCCAGAATAGAAACAGGCTAATACCTCTCCTTCACTTGTTCCACCTGTCGCTGCTCTACAAGATTTTTCAGTTCCAAAACTTTTCCTTTTTCTTCCACTTCAACTTCTCTCCTTTTCTGCAGCAGTTCTTGCTGCTCAAGTTCATCTTTCTCCTGAAGAAGAACAAACAGATCTGTAGCACTCCAATTCTAGTTGGGAAAGATGAGGTGGATATGAAATGAGTGCTTTGAGACAAATCATGCTCATTTCATCCTTTTCTTATCTTCCACAGCCTACCCACTGCCAGTTGGGCAGTATTTCCCTTCTGTCTCCACAAGTTCCCTGGTGCTCAAATCCAATATTAACTGTCTAAACAGAAACCTTACAGCAGATACTTCAGTTTCCCCAAATCCCCGTAGCTCCTGAACTGCTCCCTGTGCAACCAAGCAGATCAGTGCATGGGTTCCTTTCCTTTTCTATGTGCAGGAGGGATCTAGAGTTGTTCTTACCAACTTCAGTACTTTCTGTTTCCGCACGTCACTTTCCCAAGGTTTCTTTGATAGCTTTTTCTTGCTCCGTTCCTCAGAAACCTTTTCTTCCTGCACTTGTGAGAGACGCACCTGAAAAAGCCCCATGCATCTGCTCCACCACCCCTCATAGCCTTTACCAAATGGAGGATGGGGAGAGCTTCTTAAGTATGAAGACTGGCATTCAGGTTCTAATAAGACTGAGAACCCAGCACCAGGCACACATGCACTATATTCAGCACCAACCTTATGCAAGTCCATCACTTATTACAGGTCATGTGAAGAGAAACCCACCACCTGGAGTGCTGGAAAAGAGCACAGAAGCCATTACAGATATACAAAATACAAGCTTTCACCCTGTGATTCTCTGCAGAACAAGGGCATCTAGCATCTTGTTTGTGTTTTGTCTCAAAATGCTGTATGCTGCAGCTGAGTTGCAGTATGAATTGAGGACCTGAAACCGGAGCCCCTGATACTGTGCTTTTGCCTGAGCTATCACAGTCAATGCATTAGCATGTGCACAAGAGCAGGCTAGCCAGGGGTGCATGTACTTTTGGCTGCTGAGATTTTGGCATAGGCTGAAGGAGGCATGATTCCTTCTTTTTCTAGGGCTGAGCTTTTCCAAAAGTCAGTCTAGCCCACTCCTTAAAGTGAGCAACCATATACTTCCCTGGAACTCTATCCAGGTTAGCTTAACACAGTCTCCCTCACTTCTGAAGAACCTGCACTGTTGTACGAAAGCAGCAACAGTTCACATATAGCCATCAATGGCTGATCCTGGCATACCTTTTTTCTACCTGTCCTTAAAAAAAGGGAGGAAACAAAGCCTTAAAAACAGACAAAATGAAACACAGTTGCTGCTGCCACATCTACTAATCACGAGCATTCCTTGCTCACTTCATAGCTTTTCCTTCCTGCCATGCTTCTGCAACCACTGTGGTTTCACTGTCTGTAATGCAGTGCAAACAAGTGGATGACTGTCTCACCTGCTGGGTCTGTTCACAGGACAGTGAAGGGATGTGGCCACATTCCTTGAACACAGAGCACTATAGACATTGCATGTCAGAACAGGAACGTTCAGAATCACATAGGTATGGAGAACAAAAGCCTTTCCTTGTTAGACAGAGAATTTCAAAATCTGTTTTAGATGCAGACTTTCCCACCACCTGATTAGTCACCGTGAGCAGCAACCCTGTGCTTGCACACATCATACCAGTGGCCTGTTTGCACCCGCTTGGTCTCACAGCTCACTGTGATAATTTCATTACTCTGAATGGCTCAAAGCTTAGTCAGGCTTCTAACCTTTTCATCACTCTGTAAAATCTTCTGTTCCATCCGTTTTTTCTTCTCCTCTTCCATTTGTTCCACTCGCTCTCGAGCCTGCAGTGCTTTCCTCAGTCGCTCTTCCCTCTTCCTGAGTAATGTGCAAGAGGGACCTGTTAGTTTTGTTTGCTCTAACACAGAGGATGACAAGGGAACAAGGATCTACTGTGGTAATTTGAGTATGTGGCTCATTTTCTAGCACAGCAGCCTGCCATGGATCATGAGAAAACAATTATTTTGCTTGAACTGAGCTTAACGTCAGCTCATATGTGGATTAAGTCCACCAGAAATCAGCAGGTGCTTTGCAGTGATGCAGTTATTACTGCAGCAAGCCATGAGCAGCCCTGCTCGAGGTGCCCAGGGATCATCATCTACTAAACGTTCCCTCTGGGCAGAATGCACAAAGCATGATATAGCAATGCTGCCTGCCTGACAGAAAAAAAAAAAAAAGACTTCAAGGAAATTCTGCTCTGAACCAGAAAAGGAGCAGGGTGTAAGGGACTCAACTCACTGCTTCATTTCTGCCTGTCGCCGTCTCTTTTCTTCCTCCACTTTCTTTTTCCTTTGTTCCTCAGCCTCCTGTTTCTTCCTGAGGCTTTCCAGCCTCTGCCGCTCCTTCTCCTGAAGGGAGATGAGTTCAGACTATACCAATTGCTGGGGCCTGTTTCTGCCCTCAGGCTGCTTGTGCAGTAGCAGCTAGAGGCTAAGCTGCCTGCTAAACAAAAAAGTCCCTATCATGTTCACCCACACGCAGGGATGGGAAGTGAATAGTAGGTAAGAAATAATGCAGATTTGGCAGCAGCACTTATTCAACTGCACCACCTTCTCAGAGCAGAAGAGTCATGGGGATGGCAGGGAAACACTTAAGTCTTTCAGCTGTTCAGAATACATTTCAGGTAAGAGAAGTTACCCAGCACTCTGCAGCTGTAGGTGACCACCTGTAGTAAACATTTTGTGCCCAGGTCAGTGTTACCTATGTCAGCAAGCGGAAAAAGCAGGGAGACAGTACAGAGTGCAAGTAGTCATGTTTAGAGGCCAAAAGGTTTCTTAGCAGTTCCCAGCTCCAGCAGAACACACCTGCAAAGGAGATCCTGCCACCTCACCACTGCCACGGTCAGTTTACATTTTTGGACAGAACAGAAGAGCTGTGTGGATGCCAGTGCAAGAAGAAAGAGCTGTTAGTGTTGTGAGACAAGAAGCACAGCCACTATAGTCTTCCAACCCCACAGTTAAGTGTGTCATTACTTACAACAAAGTCTCCCTGTAGAGAAAAGACACACAATGAATGTTTGTAAGAAATACTAGCACCCTGCACCACCCCTGTTAGCTGCAGCTTCTTTCAAGTGCATGCTAGGAAGCCCACTGCATGACCCCACATTCTGTCTTTCAGCCCTGAAGCAGCCAATTATGTGACACAAAGGCAGATTCTCAATGCGAAAAGAGATGCTTCCCATTTTACCACAGTTAAACAGTTCCAGAACATAGTGTTTCTGCTGACTATAGACAAAGCAGCGAGATTTCTCTGCATCTGAGGACAGATTGATGACTGGTACTAAAAACAAAACAAACAACCCTGGCTAGTAACAGTGTTTGTGGCCTTGCCTTGCTTCAACTGTCCAATCAGTTTTCCTCCCCTGGGGAGGCTGAGGTAGAATCATGAGGACAATTTGCCGTTATGACCTACGCCAATCCACAACAGCCAACAGAACCAGGAATACATTTATGCTTTTCTAAACAGTCATCCTGCCACTCCCCCAGACTTGATCCTCTCCTCCATCTCTATGAGGGGAAGTGGGATTCTGATGCACCTTAAGATCAGGTCGGGTGGGAGTATTGCGTTTGATGAAATTCTTTATGACACCTCCATGTCCCGTGGACCCAGAGGTTGTGAGTAGCTGGTTTCTCTGCACAGCCTGAAGGAAGTTTTTCAATGGTCTAACCACCTAAGAGGAAAAGATAGAAGGAAATTACCACCTGCTAGGGAAAGGAAGGCAATGAGAGGCCATAGCAAAGACTCACCTTGCTAGCTGGAGAAGCAGAATGTGGAGTCTGGTTTGCAGAATTCACGTGCTTGTCATCCAAAGGGGAGTGGGCACCACCTCCTGGATGCTGCCCATTCCATACAGCACCCATTGCTTGCTTATAGCTTCTTGTCCTATTGGCATTAGCAAGAGGGACATGAAGTCTGGATTAAGCTCCTCAAGTTTTAACAGGAACATTTACTTACTGTTTCACAGATCCCCAGTCCCTACTCACTACCATCAAAGCAGTTGGGCCTCTTAGGAGTCAGTCAACTATGGAGCAGGAGCACCATCTAGTCATTAATTATGGACAAGAGAGGCACATGACAATTTGGTAAGGGAACACCCAAATTTCAGGAGTGATACACAACATTCCACTCTCATTCCTCACTCTAATTCCCAGAAAGCAAGTATATATCATATCTGGTATCAACAACAAAAGATAGACACAATCCACATGTGTTAGCAACTAGCCATTCCAGCCCACCTCACTGGCAGGGTTTCATTTGCTTTATAAACACTTTAGACATTCACAGAAACATGACCCTTGTTAGAAGTCCCCTAACGGGCACCCACTAATTTCAGTGGGAAACAGGGGGACCACCTCACTGCACAGCTGGGGCCCAATCCAGCAACAGTTCCAAAGAAAGCTGCGGATTCTGACCCATCACACATAGTTAAGCACCCACATGAGAACAGAGGTTACTGCTATTCTCCCTTCCCACCCATCACCCACAGCAAATCCACCCCAGCAAAACTTAACAGGACAGACTAAGGACAAAGCTAAAAGCAGTTCAAATCTCACATGAAACATCAGTAATATAAGCAGTGAGAAGATAAGTCAGGCATTCCAGACACTTGCACAAGATAAAAATAAATAGGTCAGTCACCTGCTTGTGTTGCTGTCTGAAACTACTCCCAGACTACCCCTTTATGAACCACTCAGTTGCATTTAAGCTCTGAGGAACAGTGATGTTTTAGTAATTTTTGCTGGTTTGTGCATGAATTAATCCATCTGGGATCCAGGTCTGGCTTGAGGAGCAAAAAAGGCCAAGGAAATCACATGGAACTCCCACAAGACAAGATTTCAAGACTCCTCTGGGGAGGGGACAGAAAGGGAAACACCCTAAGCTTTTTAAATTATTTAAGAAAGCCAGGCCTAACTCCTCCCAGACCATGGGTTCATTCCTCTCTTGCAAATGTCTCCTACCATAGGCGTGAAGGATTCTCTTGGGACTTGGCACAGTGGGTTTGTTCTTGGTTCTTGTTCTGGGCTTCACCGTTGGGATTTACACAGCTTCCTGTGAAGAAACCTGTAGTCAACACCACATTCAAGGCATTCTGCAGGGCTCTTACTCCAGTTCAAAGCCCCATGGCACATAACCAAACTGCAAAAGCAGAAGCCAAGATGGCTACCTTGAATATCAGGGCTGTACACAACTAGCAAAGAATGCGTCTTATACAGAGCCTTCTGATTAGGCACAACCTGTCTCACCAGAAAGACTGCAGTACTCTTAATTCCATTCCAGCTACAGATGCTGTGAAATCCTACAGAAGACAGTCTGAATGTCTCTATATCCTTGCTTTGAGGCACAGTAAATAAGTAAGATGTTTAAATCCTTGCTGAATGCAAGCCCAAAGATGACAAGGTTGTCAAGGTACTTTAGCACAGTATTATACATAGAGAACAAATCTGAGTGTTGTCTTAAGTGTTCCCACTTATTCATTATGAAGACTGAAGTTTGACTAAACCATGTTTGTCTCAAGGCTTAAATACAAACCTTCACAAGGATTTACAACATGTCCTTGCTTATCTAACTGCATGCCTCACCCCCTCAGGAGATAACAGGTTTACCTGAAAAAGTATCTTGACTGGTCAAGTGTAGTTTTGTTTCAGCACAAGTCCCAGATTTCCCATATACCCTCATGTAGAATCCTTAGTCTGTGTGCCTCTGTGGCCTCATACAAGAAATACAAGACTAGCTCAACATTACCTTTGTTATTCCCTGTCTGTTGCTCAGGAGACAAGTCCTGTGCAGGAGGGCTGGCAGCTTTTTCACTTTTGCTTGAAGTGAGCAAGTTTTCAGGAGCCTAAAGGAAAGGGAAACAAACATTAGCTTAGCACAGTTCTCCCTGAGGAACAAGACTGCAACAAACCTTCAATCCTGAAAAAAGAAGAAAAAACAACCCAGTCACTCTCAACTGCAAGCCTACTGCTAGCCTAGGGACTCTTCCTTCCAACCAGAGTTGTGCTAGACAAATACATGCTGATTCAATTCAGTAACACAGGGCCCTGCTCATGGAACTCCCACCGAGGCTGGTAAGATGACTGTTGGCCAGTGTTTTCCTCATCAACAGTAGGACACTTTGAATTGACTTTAGGTCAAATAAAGTGCCTCGGGAACAAGGGACAGCTTCTATACACTTTGGAGACAAGTTCCAACTACAGACATTCTACTCTTGAAAGAAAGAATTCCTTCAAAGTATCTAAGATTACAGTATACTTATACACTTTAAATACCATTGTAGTATATTCCCAGGAGTATAAACAAGTCACTGAAGCACAGCATGCAGGCTACCTGCACACACACACACACACACACAGGACATGCCCTTCCCTACCTGCTAAGCTACCATCACCCACAGTAGAACCAGCTGTGCACTTGTCCTTCTGCAGCTTCCCAGTGGCACCAGTGAACTGATTGGAGGCAGAGCCAACCCCTTTCTCTGCTGGGCTAATTTTCAGATAAGCTGGTTTACAGTACGATCACACAAGATATTTTTGCCAGTTCAAAGGATAGGCTGGGTTTCTTTCTCTTCCTAGCACTGAAGACTTACATGAGCTTGTTGAATACACAGCCTCTCTGGTAAAATAAAGCACATTAACTTGAACTGCCCTTCTGAATCCTGTAATTCAAATCAGCCAGGCAACAAAGACTTGCTAAGAATATACACAGTCAATCACCATGCCCAGATGACAAGCAAAAGCTTGCAGACTTCTGGGAATCTGTCCAACAGCCTATGAAAGCTCCATCTTAAAGAGGCCTTAGCAAGGCACAAAAGGCCTCCGTCCACCATGAACTGTGGCCAACAGGCATCACAAGCTGCCCAAGCATTAGAAAGGCTGTACTGTTCAACTCAGCAGTGCTTTTGCTAAGGTTGAAGATTGACATAATCAATCCTTGGCTGCAGTCCTTACATCCAGTCATAATGCTTCCAGCTGCTCAGCAGAAGATGAGTAGGTCATCCATTAGAACTCACCTTCTCACTTGGGGAGTTCAGTTCCAGTCCAGTTCTGCAAAAAAGCAAGCATCTTGATTATTTCAATTCTCTGAAGTAAAAGAAACACTGCTTTGCCCTTGGTGCACCTCTACCAGGACAGCATTCAGAAGGGTGAATTATAGGGAATGCAGATACAATGAAGCTAGCATATGGTACCCAAGAAAAAGGCAGGCAAGCATTAAGTATATCCAGATAAAGGCAGGAACCTGTTTGAGCCAGGACACACAGAGATGGAAATGTAAATTCCTCTGATGGGCTATTTAATTACACTGCTGAATAATACAGTGAGCTTTGTTCTCCCCTCTTCCTGTAGTACTTCCATGCAGGAGGTAAACAAAGTTCTGTGCACCTCAGCCAGAGAGCATCTTACCTGTTCACCTTTCAAACCAGACAAGCTGACTAACCTCAGCACCCCCAACCATCCAGAGGCTGGTTAAGCCAATAGCTGCAGGACATAATTCACATGATGACAGACAGAGCCATCACTAGCAGGCTCTCAGGGCTTGAGGGATAGGGCTGGATCCTGCATTAATGCAGTGATCAACCTCACAGTTAGTATGAACAAGCTTCTGAAAAGGATGGGCTGTGTCTGAACAACAGAAGCTTGGAAATATCAACAAACTCCAGGTGATGACATCACCTGGAACAGTCAATTACAAGACCACAGTCCTACAATACAGAAGCAACCCCTACAGCTTCTGTATTCCTTGCAGCTTTTTTGTGGTTTCCTTCTGCCTGCTAAAATGGTAGCCTCACCTCAAGTTATTGGTCACATCTTCTTCCACAAAAACCTCTAAGGAGCTTTGACCTGGAGAGGAAAGAAAAAAAATAACATAACAAAAGCCATTTTAGAAATTTCAGTCTGAGGCTTCCCAACAGCGGCAGTGCGTGAGTGGTAGAGCTCAGGTCTCTGTGCAGGCTTCTCCCAGGGAACACGCTGATTGCTCATCTCAGCTTTCTACATGAGCACTACCACCTCCCTCAAGTGTCACTGACAAACTGGTGTAGGCTGGGAAGGCAGAGAACTGGAGCAGCAGCTCCTCTGTCTGCAGACTGCTCCAGCTGCACAAACACACTCATGCCTGTGTCACAGAGATATCATTTCCCAGTCAATTGATTTCAGTTTCTGCCTCCCTGCACAATTTTATGCAGAGATTTGGTCGATTTGGGCTGATTTTATTTCACCCCCCCCACCACCATCACTTAGATGAAAGTGTTTTAACAAATGCCTAGATACAGTGTGACTCAAAGCTGACAAAACTAAATACCAAAGGCATTAGTGCTTTATTAGAAGCCAATCTGGTTTCAGAAGCAATGATTTTTAGAAAGCCCAAATCTGAAAGCCTTCTAGCCTTCTCAGGAGCAGCAAGAGCAAGGGATATGAAAAATATGGTGCTGGACTTTCGAATCTTATTTCTTCAGATGACTGTGCTATTTAGTTCTTAGTCCATGAACTTCATCTTCACCCAGAAAGCATTTGAGTTCCTCTGCCAATTTCAGAGAGCAGACACAATCTTCTTCCAGCTTCTCAAAAGAATTCACAGAAGACACTCATACTAAAAGACCCTCTGTGGGAAATGCAGTAGCCTCAAGGCAATAAGCTACCAAACCACTCACACATACCTAGAACCAGCAAGGGTGCATTTTCCCTTCTACTCTGCATTTACTTGCCTTTTTTTGTTTGTTTTTTAATTTATCTGCAACTTCTGTGACCCAATTTCCAGTACCTGTGCCCCAGCTTACACTGCTTCCACAGCAAAACAGAGCCTGAGGCTCACCCTGACAGCAGATGAGGACCTGAGGATTGCACCCTAAATGGATAGAAGCCACAAAACCTACTGCTGTGGAAACTAGGAGGAACTGTAGTTAATATGGATGAGCAACTCTGCAGCAAAGCTGAGAAGCTGACTTAGCCAAAAGAACACACTCAATAACAGAAAACTTACAGCTCACTCTGCTGGAGGCAGAGGAAGATTCTTGTGCTGCTGCCTTCTTAGCAATGGCCCTGCTGATAGATCTCCGGATCATGCTCTCTCTTTTGCTGGCCAGAGAATATTTTTCAGCCAAGGAGGTCCTATGGTTTTTGTGGGTGCCACCCACGCAGCTTCGGCGTCCAGAGCGTCGTGTTTTGGATGTCACCATGGTCATTTTGTTCTTGGAGTCCTGGAAAAGCACCTTCTCTAGGCTTTGAGAAGACAGATCTCCTTGGGGCATGGCAAGATCTCTATTTCTAGTAGCCTTGGGAGTGGATGTACTTGCTTTTTGTTCAGTGGTCTCTTCCTCCTCTCCTGCTGTCTGGTCATGAGGGACTGCACTGACAGCAGGCACCTCATGCAGTTCATTGATTGCACCCTCCTTGGATACCTGCTCTGCTGGAACAGCCTCACAGGCTGCATCACCACAATCAGCACTGTCTTGCTGTGGAGGTAACTCAGCCTGAGGGTAGTCATTGTAATCCACTTCCACCATGGGACTTTGTGCTTCTGCTGGCAATTTCTCAGATAGTGCTGGAAGCTCCATTTCAGTGTTGGCCTGAGACCTCGCATTACAGTTAGGATTCTGGGGTTGCTCTTTGCTGCAGCATCTTTGTGAGCTTGGCCCGGAAGATGCTAGCTTGACACTGCTTCTCCTTCTGGACAACCTTAAATAAGAGCAAATGAAACAATGCAGAAGTCTCCCACTCCTAAACTGTTCCAAAACACAGACAAGTTTTGCAGTGAACCTACAGCCTTCTTCCCCATATCCACTTCCCCTTACAACAAACCTTTTATCATCAGCTAGATGCAGGAGAAAAAACCTTGAAAGCTCGCACTTGCTCTGGCAGATTTACCCAGGCATACTAGATTTACTTGCAACTGAAGGCTGCATCTAAGAACACAACCAGCAGTGGCTGAGGTACCAGGACACTTGCAGTTCTTTGTGGATATTAACCCACAGCCCCACCCGGACCTGATGTCAGGGGATAGTAAAGTCATACTGGTACAACCCACTCCATTCTGCCCCAAGTGAAGCACAGGCACCTACATGGGAAGGAATTTTGGATTAAGTTTTCCTAGCAAGCTAGGAAGAACTATGCAGTGGTTTGGGGAAGTTCCACAGTGAGATTCAGCTTTGAAATGCTTTGCATTAACTCATTTAACAGGAGATAATGGAGCCATTTACTTGATCAGTAAGTCAAGGAGATTAGCTGGACAAGACCAGAAGAGAGAACCTCAGTGTTTCAGACATAAAACAAAGTGGAGAGCCAAAGGAGAAGCAGCTAACAAGAAAACAGCTACAAAAACCCAAGGCAGCATAAACTAGTTAAACAAGCTAGACTTTACAGTTCCTGGCGGAAGAACACTCACTACCAGCCTTCAAATTGATACCCTCTGCCTTCCTTCCAGTTTTGTTCTCTTAATTTCTCATTCTGACCTCTAGCAAAAAATATCACTTCCTGCTAAAGTTCACAAAAACAAGACTATTAATTGGGAAACTCATCAACATGCTAATAAGTGGTTTCTAAAATATGTACTGAGGGAACCATAGCAATGGAAACAACAATGGCCTGACCCTGCAGGATTAATGTGCCTAACTCTGACATGAACTTCCTGTTGACAGATGATCATCCAACCTTTCAGGCATTGCCACATCAGCAGATCTTTCACAAAGCTAAGTTTGAATTAGGAAAAAACATGCAAGATTTGTCGTCTTTATGGAAGCAATCAAGCTGCTATCTAGCTGCTACCTGAAAACTAACAGTATGGCTTCTGAACTCTCCCTGTTTAGATTTGCAGTATTTTCTTCTCCTGCCCTCCTTCAGCACACACATTCATGAACTTCCCACGCTTCCTTACTATTCTTGCTTTTCTCTCCATCCTCCATGTCTAGTTTATGTCAGTCTTTCAGTTCTAACTCTCCTGTGGTGTTTTTCATCATGGTTATCAAAAGTTAAGGGTCTTACCACACAGTTTATTACTGTATATCCAGTTACTGGGTTAGAGCACATTAAAGCAATTACCAGCACGCCTACCGTCAGATCACAGCATATGCTTCTCTGAAAAGCAGGTTATTAACCACCTCATTCCAACCACAAGATGAAAGCAGATGCAGTTGGCCACCACGAAGGTATGACATCAAGGAAGATAATTAGCATCAAAACCAAATCACTCCTCAAACAATCCCTTTTTTGCATCCATTTGCAGACAACAGTTGTCACAAAGAAAGGCATTCCTCCATTTATCCTCCTCTTTACCTCTTCTACTTAATGAGATTTGGCTTACTTTCCAGTGAATATCTTTACTGGTACAGGAAAGGGAAATAAGAAAAAAGAAATTTGGCTGCTTGCCATTACTACTGCTGCTCTCATCTTCAAGCTGCAGAAACTCTCTTGGGCAGCAGCAAAGGGGCAGGCTGTGTGACAGAACAGTGCCACTGTCTGCACAGAAAGCTGTTAAGAGCACGAGGTAAAAAGCACAATACAAGCTACATTTCTTCTGCAGTCTACCTGCAGTAGATAAGATGCACAGTTTTAGATTCTGTCTACTTAGGGCTAATGTTGAAAAACAATCCAGTAAGGATGGTTATATACCAAATCACTTGGAACTTTTACTTGTTTCATTCCAAACGCCGAGTCCTTTCTATCTGCTAACTTAAATAACACCAATAGGCGTGACATTTTTGCACATCCCTTGTAGCAGGCTACATTCTCAGATGAGTGAACATGGGAACAACCTCAGGTTGAAAGCTGTGCTGAAAAAAACGTGAAATTAAATGAGAAGAAACCTCAAGCAAACGAGAAAGTAGAAGATGATATTTATTGTTTTTAAGCAAACAGAAAGAACATGAAGGGACAACTAATCCTCTACTAAATTTTCACAAGAATCAAAATGTTGATTGACCTTAACACACCCTTTTAAATTTAATATTTACTAAAGCAGGAAACAAGCAGTTATTCTGGATAGGCATATCAGAAACAGTTAAAATCTCATTTCACTGTTAAATGCCACATGCAGCAGAGCCAGACTCACCCACCTCCTCCTGGTTGGCTCATTCTCATCTTTCAGAGCTGAAGACTGCCTCTTCCTAGGCCGTCTCCTCTGGGATGGCGTTTTGGGCATCAGGCCAGGTTCAGCTCTGAAGTTGGTGCTGAAATGCAGAAAGCAGAGGCTGCTTTCCACTGCTAACTGCCCGCCACCCAGCCATAGCAGTGTTCACCCATTAAGAGCAACAGGGGAAAAGCAATTGAGGTGTAACACCACCTGGCATTAATGCCTAAATGAAGCTGCCAAACACAGCCACGTTAAATCCATCGCTCAGCTGAACAATGCACCACGCCTAGGCTTACACCAGGGCTGTGCCGCCAGCAGGCAGGAGCACACGCAGCTTTGTGCTCTCCGTGTTCGAGAGCATCCCGGGAGGCTCCCTGGAGGGCAGCCCCTACCTATCCATCATCCTCAGGCCCTGCTCCTCCACCTCCCGCAGCCAGGCCAAGTGCTTGTGCTCAGCATCATGAAGGAACCTGGACAGTCTCTGCCCACACACTTCCAGAAGCTGCGTGGGACCGTCGGCTGCTGCCATGACCTTGCCTGAAACACAAGATGCGAAACGAAAACCTTCTAGGATACAGAGGACGACCAAAGCCCCTTTGTGCCTCGCAGCAGGGTACAAACAAGCCCAGCCGCAGTTCTAAGGCAGATGCAAACCCAGAGGACCTCCCTACTGGCTTTCCCCCAAGCCTGTAGGACCAGATCCTAAGATGCCAGGGCTCTTCGCACTCCCCTCACCGCCTCTCAGCAGGAAGCACTGCACCCTCACCGCTGCGGCTCTTTCCCCCCTTCCACTCCTGGTCCCAAATATCGCGGCTTCTACCAATCACGGTGCTTCTCCAGCGGAGCCCTCCTCACCACTGGCTGCCTCCCGCGTCCATCACTTCCCCGCTATTAAAATCCAGTTTCCTATTGGTCCTCTGCCCCAAGCCCCACCTTCTAAGTCCTCCACAACCACAGAGGCGGACGAGCAGAAGAGAAGCAGCTTTTGAGCGCGTCGCGCCCGCCTCCTGACCAATGAGGAGGGCGGGCGGCGGGGAGCGCGGCGGCGATAGGCCAGCGCGGCCGTCACGATGGCAGAGTGGGAGGCGAGCGTTAGGTTTGAATTCCAGGCGGGTAGAGCTGCTGCGCGCGCGGCGGCGGCAGCCAGGGGAGCGGCGTGAAGGCCGGGCTGTGCGCGCGGGGGGCGGTTGGGGCTGAGGTAAGCCGGAGCGATGGCGATGGCGATGGCAGCGGGCCTGGCGCGGCTGCCCGCGGCGTGCAACCAGCGGCTGGCGGAGCTCCTGCGGCAGGTGGACGACGTCGACATGGTGTGGCTGGAAGAGATCCACGAGGAGGCGGCCAGGATGTTCGGCAGGTAACCGTCCCCGCTCCCCCCGCCGCGCTCCCCTCCGCTCCCAACCGACGGCCCCGCGCTGAGTTGTGCCCCCGCCCGCAGCCACTACAGCGACCAGCCGGAGCTGATGCCCAAGACGCCGTCGCAGAAGAACCGGAAGAGGAGGAAGCGGCCGTCCGCGCTGCGGGGCGAGAGCCTGGAGCTGGGCAGGAGAAGGTAGGCCGCGGGCCCGGCCGTGTGGCGGGGCGCCCTGTCGCGGGGCCGTCGTGCTGTGGGCCGTTCCGAGAGCTGGGGTCCCGCTGCGGCGGCCCCCGCCGCGCTGCTGTTAAAGGCCTGCCTGTGCGCTGGCTCGGGGCGCTCGTAGCCTAGCGGCTGGAGCGCGCCATAGCGCGGAGGTGCCCAGATGAAAGCGCGCCCTGCCTGCGAGTTGGTAATTGGCCCTCGCGGCCGTTTTATGTCTCCTGTTTGCTTTATGCCGCGGCTTTCCGATCTGCCGGGGGCTGCTTCCGTGGTTCTGGGCTGTTGCTGAATCCAGCTCTGTGCTAACGTGCCATCTCTGTTGTTAGATTATCTAGAAGGAGGACTAACAACCTCAAAGCAGTGTCCTCCAAACGATGTTCTCAGCGACTCCAAAATAAAGAAGACGCAGCACCACTCAGCACCGAGGCCCAAGATCTTTCAAGCCAAACTGTCTCTCAGCAGTTGACAGGATCCCAGGTTGCAGCGCCTGCCGACCGCTCAGAGGTCCTTCCTGAACATCTAGGAGAAAGAGTAGTTCCCGTAGTAGAAATCAGTGTCTGTGATCGCGTTAGTGCTGAGTTTCAGTTCCAGAAGTGTGCATCTGAACCAGCAGAGAATCACTCCACGAACCTCCCCCTGAGCTCCGATGACAAGTCTCCCAAGGAGAACAGTACCGCAGAGTCACAGCCTTTGCCTGCTGCATCTGAGCTCATAGTCCCTCATACCCCAGAGGCAAAAGGCTCAGGAAAGAACAAGAGTGCATTTAAGAAGACAGCAAACGCAGCTGATACTACAGTTGTTTTAAGTGAAGAGCCTGGGCTGGAAGAGGTAGATGACTCTGCTCAGATGCAAAAGCATAATGAGAGGGATGATAAAGAACCTCAGCGTACAACAGATAGCCCAGAAACTCCTACAGGTTCTAGGCTAAGCCGTCGCTCTGTGCGCAGAAGTTTGATGGGCAAACCTTCCACGATTCGTAGAACCTCACTGGCAGAGAAATACTCACTAGCCCGCAAGAGGGAAAGCACTATTCGGAAATCTATCGCCAGGACAGTGATCAAGCGTAAGGCGCCCCAGAAGTTATCTGTGTCCTCCAGTTCCGTGAATGGTAAGTTTGAACGTTACTGGATATGTGCTTTGCACTGTTTTTTGCTCATTTTGCCAACGTATTACTTGCACGAGACCATGGGACTGGTGTTTGCAATGGGCAGGAATCTACACAGTGGCCAACCACCCTGAGTGGTTAGGTTCTGTACCTGGAAAAGTTAATAGAGATGGGTAAGCCAACCTAGAGAACAGAGAATCAAAAGCACTGTGTGAGCTTGATGAGCTTGACCCTCAGCTGAACAAGATATGCTTGCCTACTTGGAATAATGTAAGAGAGGTGATCAGTCAGTGGCTGTTCTTAATGCAAACTCCTTGCAGTATCTTGTGCAATTGTACACAGCTTCTGAAGAAAGGTCATGTTAGTGGAGCTAGTTCTTTAGTTTGGGTGCAGCAGCTTAGCCAGATCTTAGATCTTTCTAGTTTAGGCAACCTTTCATTAAACGCCAGTGTTCTAACTGACTTTCTGGATACCTCTGTGAACGGAGGAACCTAGGTAATTGTTAATTGATGGGTTATAGCCTACAGATTCCGCCTTGTATTTCATGTGAGAGAACATGATTAACATCTGAGTTTCTGTGGTGATAGCTGGCAAACTTAAAGTGGCATCTGGCAAATGGGTTTTTTTGTTGCTAGTAGTCTTTTAGGAGGAGTTTGGGCTCCGTCTTGTTTTAAAGAAAACAAGGTAGCTATTGTGAATTAGCTGATTTTTAGAAATAATCTCTTCTGGAACCCCTCCTTTGAGAAGGAATTTTGAGACTGATCTTTGTAAATTTATTAAAACAATCTTCTAAGCTTAGTTTGCAATACAAGTGGGTTTCTGTGAAGGATGAACACCTGCTTGCAAAACAAGCTCTTGCAAAGCAAGGTAAATTACCAGGGTCGGCACTTACTACAAAACAAGATCACTTCCCTTAAAACTGTCAGAATATTTTGTTCTATCCCAGGATCGTTGTTCAGACAGGGGCCTTTAGGTCCCTGACACACTATCTTTGAAGGGACACTGAAGCAGCTTTTTCTCCCCAGTTTAAATGATTGGTCTGTGTTGTCTGGATCTGGATTACCTGGGAACCTTAAAGAGGACTTCATTTCTCTCCTCTGCACTGATTGACTTGACGGATCTTTTGCCCAGTCAAAATTTCCAAGTGTAAGGAGAGAAACTGAGGTGCTTCAGGCAGCTCCACTTGAGCTTAATATCTGACCACACTGCATAGGTATTAACTGACTGCATGGTATCCACCATGTCTTTGATGGATCATGTCTTGTGTATCCAGCACGTGTTTGCGTTTCCTTTGATAACACTGGGGTAGAAATTTAGGAGCAGACTTCATACTTACGCAGTGTCTGTCTGCATTTATCCCCCTCAGTCTGAGGTGGCATATCCACCTTATTAATTATTAACAGCAGTTTCCAGCCTGTGTTGGTTCTTAAAAGCTAGCTACCATTGAGCTAGCTGGAATGTATTACAGTCACAGCATGTGACTATAAATAATGCTGGTTTTGCTACTGCTAGTATCTGAATGTGGCCCTGCAAGATGAATCTGGGCCCAAGCCTAGCCACTCTTAATGTAAACACATTGAATATCACTTTTAACTCATCTGCAATTGAAAACAATTTTCTTATATTAAAATTGTGGGCAATGTTTTTTTTCTAGTGCTACTTGGGTATATTAAGCTGCCTTTGCTTGTAGTGGCATGCATTTGAATTGCAGGAGGCAACCCAGGAGGCAGAGCAGACAAGTCTTGAGAGAATCTTGCAAAGAATCTTGGCTTGTGCCTTACATTATAGTTTTGGCACCCTTTTTTCTTTTCCTCTAGGCTCGGGTTCTGAAGAGGTGCCAGAAGATGAAGAAACAGTTGTCAACACTGGGTGAGACTACTTCCAAGATAATTTTTTATCCTTAATATCATGCTTGTTTTTTTTTTTTTCTCCTCCAGTTGAATTCTTGATATAAAATGCTTGTGGATAACAAGTCATTTCATAGTTTCCTCAATGTTATTAAATGTAGCTACCTTTCTAATTTTTTTTCTAGACCTCCTCCTGTACCTCGTACCCCTCCAAAGCTGGTAAGTTTTGACAAGGATTTAAAAGCATTTCTCTTTGTGTGAACTCATTACAAAATATGTTGAATGTATCTCTCATATGTTGCTGGGAAATCGGGGAGTTCTGACCACATACAGTCAGATTCAGACCACTTGAATAAAGAAGACATAGGGCATTCAGCTCAGCCACATGCATGACCCTATACATAGCTTATATGAACAGACTGCAGAAAAGTCTGATTTTGTTTTGATCAGAGTCTTTCAGAATTGTCAAAATTAAAAAGTGAAGTTTTTGCTTGGAGAATGAGTACATGTGACTTGAAGCTTATTTCTATGTGGTGTTACAAGCTTGGATGCTTCCAAGCCAAGGCTAGTTTGGAAAATAGCATTATCTGTCAGCTTACATAAGTATATTTAAATGTAAGCATTTTAGTAATGTGAATGATTGATTGCATTCAAGCATCATTTACATTGTTGGAGCAGGCCCAGAGGAGGGCCACAGAGATGATCAGAGGGCTAAAGCACCTCCCCTTTGAGGACAGGCTGAGAATACTAGGGTACTTCAGCCTGGAGAAGAGAGGGCTCCAGGGAGACTCATTCTGGTCTTCTAGTACATGAAGGGGGCCTACAGGAAAGCTGGGAAGGGACTTCTTTGAAGGGCATGTAGTGACAGGATGAGGGGAAATAGGTTAAATCTGGAAGAGGGTAGATTTGGACTAGATATTAGGAAGAAATTCTTTACTGTAGGAGTGGTAAGATACTGACACGGGTTGACCAGCAAGGTTGTGGATGCCCCCTCCATGAAAGCATTCGAGGCCAGGCTGGATGGGGCTGTGAGCAACCTGCTCTGGAGAGAGGTGTCCCTGCCTATAGCAGGGGGCTGGAATTAGATGATCTTAAAGGTCCTTTTCAACCCAAACTGTTCTATAATTCTGAGCACTGAATTCAGTCCTTGGTATTGCTGGCATTCAGAGTGGAGGCCTGCTTTCTGTTTGTGGTTTTGTAGCCCTTTATTTTTATGAGAGTTCAATCCTGAATTCATATCAGACTGTTAAATAAACTTATAATTCAGAAAAGTTTTTTTAGTGGGGCAGAGTTGGTACACTACTGCTATTTCTGTATTTTTAAAGCGCTTTTGACCTTTTCGCTAGTCCTACAGATTACTGAAAGGTTGTCAGTTCGTCTTAAGACAACGACAGAAATTCGTAAATATCATTCAGGTCAAAACATATCCCTCCTCAGTTCACACTGCCTTAGAGGAAGAAATCCCAGGATTATGTCAGTGTTTTGTTGAGAATCATTTTCAATAGGCAAAGGCTGAATTAATGGTGGAGCTCTGTGGCGTTAGAACTTCTGTAAGCAAGGATAGACTTACACATGCTTTTATGCATGTACTTTTCAGTAGATCTGCAAAAGTTCAAGTAAATTCAGTTCTTGTAGTGCCTATGGATTTTAGCTTGTCTGAGTTTCAGTTGTGGAAAAAGGTTACAGTGGAAATATGAAGAAGAAAAAAAATGAACTGACTGCTTTGCAGAGCTGCGAGTGGAGTATCTGTATCTTTTGCTTCTCTACCCTGATGAACTTACACTATATGACTAGATTGTATTTGTAGTTGATCTATTCTTAATCCTCCTGTTTTATTTTACACTACTGCTGACAAGAGTGGGATTTTGTAACCCCTTTGTATGGGAACTGTTGTGTCACAGCCTGAACCACTGATTGAGCTCCTGAGGAAACGACCCAGTCAGCCCTGGGAGCACAGGTGAAGGCAATTCAGCTGTGTGACAGCTGAGAGAGGCTGCACCTCTCTTAGACCTCATTTAAAGGCTGGTTGCCACTGGGGAAGGGTCTCTGGTTGGAGATCCCTCCTTGGTGAAGCCTTCCCCTGTGAACCTGGAATCTTTTGATACAGGTGAGCAATCTTCTTCCCTTCCTTTATAGCACCTTTCTAACTGTGCTGGTGCTTCCGTCATCACATCTCTGTTGTAATGCCTTTCCCATTGTATTGATTGGTCCAACTGCTACATTGTTCCATTCTTAAGCTGTCACCAGGTTACCTTATCCTATCTGTCTAAGTTTTCTTAGCAGATCAAATATGGTTCGGTTCCTGGCAGTCTTCTTTGTGAGCTGTAAGCAGCATAAAAACATCAATACTCAGCACTCTTTGCAGAAAAGAAAATGTCTTTACGTGCTCCTATAGTCAAAGATAATACCTTTATACATGCTGTTACTTAGAGATCAGATTTTTCTCAGTTCTGCTATCAGATTAATCAGATCTGTGTGCTTCTGCTGGCCCACCAGATGCTTCCTATACCTAGCCTTAGGATGAAACTAAAGAAGCACTTGCTGAATATAAAGCTTCCAGGCTTCATTTTAACTTTTTCTTCCCTGATAGCCTACCTGTTAGCCAAGGTAGATTTGAGGAGTGGAATTAATGTTTGTATTGCTAGTTACAGTGTAGATTTTGAATGCCATTACCTGTTCTCACAGACATATTACACCATTATCACACCAGAAGTAAATGAGTATCTGTAACGCCTAGAAAGGCAGACAGCAGTGTGTATGATATTCATAATGGAAATACATAAATCTAGGAAATAGCTGTTTGGTTTTTGCTATCTTAATCTTTCAGCATTGCTAAGTAGAATGAGCATTGTCTGATTCTTTGCCAGAACTCCAGTAAGCATAAACAGATTTCAAACTGGGAATGCTTTTGTCCTTAATAGGCTCAGTTTGTTCAGTTTAAGTAGTCAATACCCCATTGCTGATATTCACACTGTGCATTAACATCTGTGCTTCTGCTGATAACATCAAGGAATTTTCCAAGATGGCATCCAAAGCTATATTTTTCATAGCTGGTGGTTAGGACTTCACTCTAGGTGCTGGTACCAATACTTTGTAGTAGTACTCCCTGGTTATATTTCAGGCAGGGTCTGTGCTGGTATGACATGATTTCAGGGTCCAGGGAATGGTAATGAAATTGGTGAGGAGACCAGAACGCAAGTCTTATGAGGAGCAGCTGAGGCAACTGGGATTGTTTCCTCTGGAGGAGAGGAGGTTCAGGGGAGGCCTTATTGCCCTCCATAAGCTGACTGGAGGTTGTGGTGAAATAGAGGTCGGCCTCTTCTCCCACGTAGCAACTAGCAATAGGATGAAAGGGAATGGCCTCAAGTTGCCTGAGTTGGAGGTTCAGGTTGGATATCAGGAAGAACTTCTCTGAAAGAGTGGTGATGCACTGGCACAGGCTGCCCAGGAAGGTGGCTGTGTCACTGTCCCTGGAGGTGTTCAAGAAATGTATACGTGTAGTACTGAGGGACATGGGTTAGCGGGCAATGTTGGTGGTAGGTGGATGTTTGGACTAAATAGATATCTTAGAGATCTTCTCCAACCTTAATGATTCTGTGATTTTATGAATAGATTGTTATTCCTGTGCAAGAATTGCATTGAAACCTATTTGTTTTTCCTACAGGATTTCCAAGGCCTGCGGATGTCACTTCGCTCTCAGACTGTCAACAGAAATGAACAACAGCAGGAGACAAGCAATAACGGTAACTTCCAGAGGCTTTCCATGGCACTATTTTAAATAGTTATGACTCTGGGAGACTAGAAGGCTTGAAAGACTGGCTAGTCAATTTGAAAGCCCAATTTGGAAGACAAGGATTTGTTTCAAGAGATTGACAAGTCCGGCACAGAGTTTCTTAACTGTTATTTTTCACCCTGGGAAGTGCATGGAAGTGGTCTGTGATGTAATGAAGATATCAAGTCATGTGTTCTCAGGTTGAGAGAGAACCTTTATTTTGTATTTCTAGGTTTGTATGACACTGGTTATTTTTGAAAGCAGGCAAGGCCTTGATATGTGAAATGCATGGCAGGTGTTTTTTTATTTTTCTTCCAATTTTGCCTGGAGAGAGCTGTTAAATCTATTATCTGCTTTCAAAGCTGTCTCAGAAGGGATTTTTCGGCCAGAACTAACTGTTTAATGCTTTTTCTTTCAGAACGCGACTTAAGTAAGAGTGAGAAGACCCAGGAACCACCCCAAAGTGCCAGGTATATTCATAGAATCATTTAGATTGGAAAGTGCTTGTGGTGATCTGTAATCCAGTCTCTTGTTCAAAGTAAGTTCAACACAAACACTGTTAAATGGTGTAGTGGCAATGCTAAGTCATGGTTTGAACCAGTGATTGAGCACCTGGTGGGAAGGCAGGACCAACCCAGGGGAGTTCAGGTACATGGAATGCACCTGAGTGACTGGAAGAGGTGGAGTCAGGATCCACCCCTTCCCAGACCTCATTTAAGGGTTGGCAGTGGAGGCAAGGGGATATCATCTGGAGATCCCTGCTTAACTGAGGGCCTTCCAAGCCTTCTGAAAGTAAGCAATTTCTTTCTCTTATTTCTTTGCCTGCTTTTGTGACATCTGAGTGGATTCTCACTTGCTGTGGCCTGGGACCTTGCTGCTCTGTTGTCTTATTGTACTTTCTGTTGCATTACGAATGGCTTCAGCAACTTGTAAATATGAAACTTTTGTAATAAGTTTTCTCTCTCTCTACAAAAAGATGATTTATTTTTTATCTTCTATCACATTAGGAATTTTTACTGGATAACTATTTGAATATACTCCACCTTTTAATCTAGGGCAGTTTTATGACATTAAAAAAAAACTTGAATTTGAGACAAACAGGTGTTTGCAGTGTGTGATAAGTTGCATTTTTTTTCTCACAGGAGAAAGACAAGTTACAAAAGAGCTGTGGATCAACGCTATGACACCCAGCAAGCAGAAGATGGGGGGCTTTCTCCTCAGAGAAAAAAGACTCCATCCCCTCCATGTCCAGCTAGCAAAGTAAAATTCTTTTAACCCTGATGTACTTCAGCAGGAACTGTTTCTTACTGAGGCTCCTATGCATAATTTTTTTGTTATTCTCCTAGGTTGTACGTCCTTTCAAAACATTTTTGCACACTGTGCAAAAGAATCAGCTCTTAATGACCCCAACCTCTGTGGGGAGAAATGGAGTAATAAAGTCTTTTATCAAGTACAACACTCCTCTCCAACATGATCCCAAGGTAAGACACGACTGTCATAGCTACTAGAAGATGGTCTAAAGAGTGTCTAGATTAAAGCACAGATGCAAAACAAACTTTCCAACCCACATTAAACTAAGGAACAATTTCAAGTTTCCTTTTTAGATAAACTAAGTAAACTTGTGAGTACTCTTCTTCCTGAAGACTTCTAACTCAGACTCTAATCTTTATTTCTATAGCATTTCTCTGTGGTTTTAGCAACTAAAAGGGGAAGAGAAAGTGGTTTTCATTTCCCAGTTATTTCCAAGAGGATTTTGAATACTGCAGTTTCAGTGCATATAATTGAAGCCTGTAGATCCTATGTTTCACTTCTGGGACTCTTCTGATGAGTGAGATATTAGCAAGTCCCTCTTAAATCTAAGCTGCTGATATTCTGAGGTTTATCAGATCTTTGGGCTCCTTGTAGGAAGAAACATGAGCCTATCTTGAATCGAAGACTGCTGTGTCAGCGAGACAATGCTGGTATCTACACAAGATACAGCACAAATATCAAGGGAATGTAATTGCAGCAACCAGCTATTAGCAGAGATGGATTGCATGCTCTTCCTGTTTGCAGGTGGATGCCGTTAACTGTGCATTACCACTGTGAAGCTTACAGCATCAATAGGAGAAGCTCCTGCATGCCAAATAGAATGATTTTGAGAGGACTTAAGACGTTCTGATTCTCCATTTTCAGACAGAGTTGGTTTCCTGTGTTCTATTTCTGTAGAACTGTTTGGGCACTCTAGCAGCATTAGCAAGGACAGGAGCAAAGCTTCACTGATGCGCTTAGAGATGATCTAGAAACTAGCATGGCAAGCACAGATTGCTCCTACTACTTATACTCAATAACTTGCTTCCAAAATAAGGTAGTTCTAGGGCTTGTTTTTAGTTTCAGGAAAGCTAGAGAGGGAGAGGAGGGCATACTGCAGAAACTGATTTTCTTGTGCCTGTCTTATATCTTGGCAACCTAACATCTAAACTTCCATGTGTTGCTTAAAGCTCTCATGGTTGTGATGCTTAGAGAGTCTTGTATCAGAAGCCTATCGTTATTAATTAGTAAAATATTCAGCCTTTTATCTCACTGGTGTTCCTGCTGTCATTAGTGTTTGTGTTGGCAAGGGAGCTGATGTGATCAGAAAAGTGTCTTCTTAGTAGATCCTTTGTTGCTGTGATTTTGTTGGAAGTTTTGTTTCAGGTTTTGTTCCAGTGCAGGCAACTTCCACCTTAGGACTTTTTCCATATGGGGACTAAACACAACTAAGTAACACAAGAATAGTAAGATACATCTGTCAATTTTAAATTCTTCGGTTGGAGACTAATAACTACCAGTCTCAACATGGTTATTACTTCATGCTGAACTCCAATCGCTTGAATATTTGACCCTGTTTTTCAGTATGGTACTTGAACTGAGGCTAGAGGTATCATAATTAGGCATTTGCAGTATACAATCTGGTATTAAATTAGTTTATCTTAATGTTTTTGCTATGATTGTAGTGGTGGTTGGCTCTTGCTCTTGTAAGTGACAGCATACTTCAGGTTGAGTTAACTGGATTGTTTAGTAAAATGGGAAAAATCCCCTGTATTTCTGGGTAGGTGATGTATGGGGCCAACTGTGCTGCAAATGTGGTTGCAAACAAGCTGCAAGCACTCTGTTTAAATGGTGGTGGTTTACCAAGAGATAAAGCTTTGTGGGAAGCAAAGAAGCCAGTGAGAGCTCTGAGCTGAAGTAAGCAACGTGTTTCCTAGAGTACCATCTGTCCCCATCACTTGCTGCAGGAAGTTAATATTGTTGCCAAGCATTAGCACTGCTTTTTTGGTTCTCTTTACCAGTTAAATCACAGTGTTGTCTGTCTGCAAACTCTGTGAAAGCTGTCTGGACATTAAGAGCTGATAATTCTGTTCTAATGTCTCAGCTTCTTCTCATGCTCTCAAGGATTAACACTATTGCATTGTGTCCATTGCATTTATTCCTAGACCTCCATGACCACAGTCTACTTGAGGTCTGTTTCAGGCTTAATTACTGTCCCACAATTGTGGTTGCAGCTGCATTTCCATGGTGTTATATCTGGGTCCTTACCTCAATCTGGATAGGCTAAGGTGGAAAGAAACTCTGTCATATGGTATAGTCACATTTCAATTCATCTTAGGAAAAGGAGAGACAAAAACTGCAGGCTCTGAAAAAGAAGGAAGAGGCTGAGCAGTTAAGAAAACAAAAAGTGGAGGAAGAAAAGAAACGGCGACTAGAAGAGGCAAAGTTGTGAGTATAAGCTTTCTGTCTCGTCTGCACTGGGCCTGTTGTGTCCTGTATCAAAGCCATTTATCTTGCAGATTCCACATAGGCAGCAAAAATTCTTGTTAGTTTGCTCTCGCTGTAAAAACAGTATTGGATCTCATAGTATCTATCCAAAATGCTATTAAGAAACTAACATTTTTAGTTGAGTGCTTCTTCAGCTTTTTGCTTCAAGTTCTCTGCCTTAGAGCTTAAAAATATTGCCAGTTTTTAAACAGTTTGCTTAATTCATTGACTGTAACACAGCCCTAGATGTGTGTCTGCCTTATTTGAGTCTTTTTTAGGTCTATGGTAGGAACTCATCTAGCTGGGCTGTGCTGACAACATTGGTCTGTGTCCTGCAGGAGGCGAGAAGAACGCCTGCGTAAAGTGCTGCAAGCTCGGGAACGGGCAGAGCAATTGGAGGAAGAGAGGAAAAGGCGCATTGAGCAGAAGCTAGCTCTGTTTGATGAGAAGACAGAGAAGGTAAGGAGCATCCTACTCAGATCTTACTGGTGAGAATAATGAATATTGAAGCAGATGATGCTATGTGAGTGTGCCTTCCAGAAAGAGGAATGAAGGCTGCTGAAAATTCAAAGAATGGCCATTTAAATAAAGATGTTTCCATAAACATTGCACTCAGTGACTCCCTTTTTCTTGGTTACAGTAAATGGCAGATAAAACTTTATTTTCTAGAGTTATGAATTTAAATGTGGTTTAATAGGAATTTATTAAATGGATAGGAAAACAACTTCAAATAGATAAAACCAACCTAATCATTTTATCTATTTGAAGTTGTTCTCTGATCTGATTAACAGATGAAGATGTGAAAATAAGCATACTTTCTCCACACCCCTTCTGGTATCTGAGATTTTCAGACGGTTTATGTATGTGACCATAACAGTCCTTTGTCTGCTTTCAGTATTTCCATCTGCCTTATTGATTTTCTGCTTCTTAGAATAAATTCTTATGGCTTTTGTAGTATTAGTATTAGATTTCTACTTCCAGAATAGAATTTATATCTTCCTGCACAGATGCAGAAGAGGATGTAGTTGTGAATACCCTCTCCCTGGAAGCATTGAAGGCCAGGCTGGATGGGACTTTGAGCAACCTGGTCTAGTTGGGAGTGTCCCTGCCTATTGCAGGGGGTTGGAACTAGATGATCTTAAAGGTCCTTTCCAACCCACACCATTCTATGATTCTCAGAAGATTTTACTAAATATTACCTTTTTAAAATAGAGCATAGATCTCATCGACTCCTAGTGGCAAAAAAAGGAAGTCTATTTCATACGAGGGTGGAAGCTTTGTATTTTTAAGACATACTGCCACAGTGGTTCACACCACAGAACGTTGTTGAATCTGAAACTTAAGTATTCATCTAGCTGTGTGCGCTTTAGGTACGGGAAGAAAGACTGGCAGAGGAGAAGATAAAAAAGAGAGCAGCTGCCAAGAAAATGGAAGAAGCAGAGGCCCGGCGCAGGCAGGATGAAGAAGCCAGAAAGCAAAAAGCACTGCAGCAGGTTTGTGCTGGAGCCCATCTTAGTGTCCTGCATACAGTTAAAATAGCTGCAGTTTGCTGTGGTCTTTGTAAGCAAGGAATGCAGCAGGAATGCTAAGATGAACCGAGTGAAAATTGGTGTGAAGAGACTGTTTGTTTTCAAAGCTCTCCACAGCACTGTGCTTCTTCCAGCACTATGCTGTGAGCTGCTAGTGATGTTTGTAACCTGCATATCTTCTGCTTCTTACTGAGGACCTTCATTTATAAATTAGCAAGTACTAAATTCCTCAGTTAACCTTGTCTATTAGAGTATGGTGGCTACTGGGCCATTTAGGATACAAGTAGAAATAGCCGAAATGCATGAAAGCACTGGGGTTGTAGCTTTTTGTTTCACTGCTGTACTGTGATATATGCCAAAAACTTTTGTCAAATAAGGTGATCCTGATTCTTTGGAGCCTATTCTTGTACAACGGGGAGTAATTAGTTGCCTTCTGCTTAACAGGAAGAGGAGGAACGTCGGCACAAAGAGCTAATGCAGAAGAAGAAAGAAGAGGAGCAGGAACGTGCCAGGAAAATTGCTGAGCAGAGGCAGGCAGAACAGGAGAGAGAAAAACAACTGGCTGCAGAGAGAGAGCTGGAGAGGAAGAAGGAGCAGGAGAGAATTCAGGCAGAAAAGTAAGATAAAATATCCATTTATGTACCAAATTCTGTGCTGGGCCTTTAAAAAGTGGTAGGAATGCAGGCCTAAGTACTGATGAGCTATTTTGCACTGGGCACTTCTAACAATTGTGGGTTACTTCACTGTTAAGTAGTTCTGAGCTCAGAGTAGAAGTGCCCTGAATAGGTGGGGTTTGCAGCAGTCTCTGTGGATATTAAAGATACACATTTATAGTTTTGAGTGTAATAGTCCATTATCTTGGTTCTCAGGCAACGTGAACAGCAAGAGAAGGCAGCTCGTCTGCAGAAGGAGGTATTGGCTGCTAAAGAGCAGCTCCAGAAGGAGACGGAGAAAAAAGAAGTAAGTAGATGTGGCTCTGACTTCTGTAGCCACTTACTGTTAGGAGTGGTTGGGCTATGAAGTTAAGAACCCTGATTAGCACTACTCTGCTTTTGATGTTGAGCTAACCTGAAGTGCTTTTGGTCCAGCCACTTCTCTGTCCACTTCAGTGCGAACAGAAGGTGTCCTTCTTGTCTAGATATCTGTCCTTTCTTCTTATTCTGCTGTAACACATACTGAAGTCTTTGGTTCTCCCAGGTGTACTGTACTTTGCTTGATATCAAATAATTGATCCCAGACTTTTTTCAGAAACAACATCCCAATTTTATTTTGTACACTTTCAGACAAAACAAGAACAGACTGTAGAGTTCATGAGATTTTTTTCTGCAACAATAATTCACACATAAATTAACTAAACAAGCATCTTTGTTCATTGTTCACTGGCAGCAGATATCCTACTACCTTCAAGTAGCTGAACTCCTTAGTGCCGATCCCTATGTACCCAGGAAGGTTCTCATATGAAGGTGGTAAACCTATGTACAACTTGTCTAAGACATGGTGGGATTTATCTCACCCACTACTGTTTGAGTTAGCAGTCTCTGTTTCCTTTACATCCAGTAAGAATGTGTAAGGTCGGATTCCTTTGGCTTGTTCTGGATGGGATCTTTAGATTTTTTTTTGTATGTCAAAATTGTGGATCCTTGAGTTAACCCCATAGGTTAGTAGTTAATAAGGTAAACTTAAATTCACTTTTGACATCGGCTTGCCAGAAGGAAGAGCAGTTGCTAGCAGAGATGAAGAGGCAGGAGCAAGAACAGAAGAAACTACCAGAGGAACAAAAGGCTAAAGATGTAGCCCAAACACAGCACCTAGAAAACAAAGAGGTAACTGCTCTCTGGTGAAATTTCTTTAAGGGATCGCATCGGAGAACTTTGATTCCAGCACTGGCATGCTGTTACTGTGAGCAATAGTACCTACCTTTTTTTTTTTTTAATTCCCTTTCAGTAATGAAGGGATGCTGTAAACATTTTCCTTAGTTACCTGAGGTCAGCTCCTGGTGGCCTTGAGTACTTAAATGACTTTGGAGTACTGACAAGGAGGGAAGGGAAGCATCAAATATTTTCTAGGATTTTTCTAACTGTCAGAATAAGGCAGTAGCTGTTTATGTTATCTTGCCTTTTCTAAACTTGCTTAAAATACTGAGCCTTGGAGGCAGCAGATATACTGAGATAGTTGTATTTAATCTCAAAGCTGGAACCAGCCACAGGATGGCAGCAGAGCATGTGGAATAGTATTTCATTTGTGCTGCACTACCAGTGAAATGTGAGATTATGTTGATGAATGTACACAGTAAACATGAAAGACAAATAAATGCATGGATCTTTATCTCCTTGCAAAGCTATATAATTTAATCTTTAAATGCAAAACAAACAAAATATAAACTAACAGTAATGTATACAGAGCCATGAAAAAAGCACGCTGGGGGGAGCACATCTGTTTCTAGCTCTTTAGAGATGCTTGTCTCTCTTATTAAGACGTGACTTAAGTTTTGTGGTTGGTGAAATTTACTGTTTCAAGTTGTTTTTTTTTTCTCGACTTGCATTTTTCTCAGTCTTACTGTTTCCTTCACAAATCATAATACCGTTCATTCTGAGATGGTCATTTCCTGTGCAAGATAATATTTTGTTTAATAATATTAAATGCCTGGGTGTTAAGTTGCAAAGTACTTACAGGACATCTCTTACTTAGCTCCAGATTTGAGGACGTGACAACTCTATTTAAAGTTCCTTATTTTGAGGGAAACTGTTTTATCTGTATTAGGATGAGCATATTACCAGCTTACCTATGTCATAATTAGCCAATTAAGTGGCCTAATTAAACAAGGGATGGCAGTACAAAGTCAAAATGGCGTCAAAACTTTATAATTTGGGTGAAGTTCTTTGACTAAAACTTCAGAATTGTCAAATTTTAGGTTTCAAAATTATGCAGTACAGCAAGGGGGAGTACCAGGATACTGTAAGCTACAAGCATCTCATTACAACTTGGAAATGTAGCAATACTGTTGCATCTAACATCTGATTATATGTTCATCTTCTAGAATTCACCTGCCTGCAATTCATACCAGATGACTCCACAGTACCATAAAGATCCAAAGCCCCCCAAGATAAATCCAAACAACTATGGAATGGATCTGAACAGTGATGACTCTACTGATGATGAAAGCCAGCCTCGCAAACCCATCCCTGCCTGGGCCAGTGGTACGTATTAGCAGGTTAAAATCTGTCCTGAAAGCCTCCAGCCATCCCTGATGCAGCTTTGTTCCAGTGGATAATGGTGGTTATAAGATTTAGCCTCTTCTGCCAACTGGGAGCTTTATGGAGCAGCACTGGGGAATAACGTTCTTTTAAACCACCTTAGCACCGCTGCTAGTGTCATTTTGCCAGTGTAAGTGGAAGAATTGTGTATTGCTGCTCTGAATTGCACCTTGAAGTGTGCTTGACCGTGTAGTCTACAGAAGCTGGCTGTTGTTCTGCTTTCTGAAATACTTCCATTATTTTCTGATATTCTGCCTATCCCAGGGAGACTAAGAAGTTAGTGTGGATACTGACTGTACCTGTAGGAAGAACAGCTGAGAAACCTTGTCCCTTCCTGGCCAGAATTCAGTACGTTCTCTCCCACCAAAAAACCTGTGCTGAAGCTTTAGGCATAATCAAAGTGCTTTAAAATATCAAATGTTACAGGAGTTTCTCATGTTGCAATATTGATGTGATTAGAAACAAAGGGAGCAGGGGCACACAGCATACAGTCTACATAGCAATTTCAATGATAGAAAATAATGATAACTCTCTAATCTTTTCTTTCTCCAGGGAATCAGCTTAGCCAAGCAGTAATCCGCCAGTACTACAACCCTCCCAACGTTGATGCACTCTTTGGGACAATCGTAAGCCCCAAGTTGGAGGACATCTTTTACAAAAGCAAACCACGCTACTTCAAGCGCACCAGCTCTGCTGTGTGGAACTCCCCACCATTTCCAGGTGCCAAATCGGTTCTAGGTCTGCCATACAGCCTGAAAAAGTACTGAGGTGGACAGTAGCTGTCTCCTGTGGAGCAATATTATGCATTTTTGTCTCTCTAGATGAGAAGAGAGTTACTATTCAGTATCCCTAAATCTTTAGGCACCAGCATTGAATGAATGTCAGCTCTGACTGGGTCTCTTGCATTTTCTGTTTTGGAGGCTTGTTTTTTTTTTTTTACCACTGAGCAAAGTTGCAGGCTTTGGGGAGATCTTGCTTCTGAACAGGGCATTTCCTGTTTCCTTCAGCTTTAAGTTGGCAAAGATTTAGACTTACAGGTCATGAGAATGTGTAATCTAAAGCAAATGTGATTGTTCTCTTCAGCCAAGCAGGCCTGGCAGCTGATGCATGCAGTAGGGAGAGGTATGTCAGTGCTTTTCCTGCCTCTCTGTGGCTGAAGTCAGAATATTGTACAGCTAATGACCACTGCACGCATCTTGAGTCAAGTCTAAAACACTACTGATGTCCTTAAGAATAAAGATATTAGCAGCCATGGTCTTCATCTCCTGCAAATTGCAAAATAATTTGGTTTTGTTTTCATTAGTATGCTCTGCATCAATACCAAATGCATTTATGTGCATAAGCTTTGATGATGATGATGTTACTGCAGTTCAGGAGGAAATATTCTGAGGATCTTAATGACCTTTCTTCTGCTGTTGGAGAGAGATGTGACTCTGGAGTTAACCATGTCTCCAGGAACACCCAGAGTAGCATAAGTAATCTTTGTATTTCTAGCAGTCTCTCAAATAAATTATACAAAGGTTTGGATATTTTTTTCTCTAATTTAAATTCCGTGTTTGTGGCAGATTGGATTAAAAGGATGTTTTTATTTAGCTTTAATCCTTGTCTTGCTCTTTTCTCCCCTTAGCTATTTCACTTAGTCAGCATCAAAGCTGGTTTTATTTTTAAGCCTTCACTTTGCACGTCTTGTTCAGTAAAGCAATATCAAGACTGTTTCCTCATAGCAGCAAAATATGAGCTCAGAATTTCAGCTCCAAGATCACTTTGTGTTCTAGTCTACAAGTTTCTGTATAGAGAGAGCAGAAGTCCCAGTAGGGCAGTGACATTTTTCAAGGAAACAGTTACATTAATTTCTATAGGTTGCTGCGGAAGCCTGTCTTCTGCAAAGTAGGCAAAATATATGATTCTTACCTCAGAATCTTTTTTTTTTGGGGGGGGGCTTGATTTTTAAAGATTGGTGAGTATTCATGGCTGCAACCTTAGTCAGTAGACTGAGAGCACTGTACATACAGCTTGGTCGCTGAAAAAAAAAACAACAAAACTCTGGAGATTATGTAACATGTAAGGAGAACTGCATATTTCCTTGTGTATTAACTGTTCTTCAAATAGATATCTTTAAAATGTATATTTATACTTAACATCTATCAGTTTTGTATTTGCTATTGTTGAGTGTGTTCTGTGAGATGATTGTGCTTTGATAAATGTTCAGTAGTTTGAGTTTTGTACTATCATCTTAGAATGAGAAATGCTTGCTTGAAATGACAAACAGTTGAATGCTATCTGAATGTCTGACAGTTTGATAAAACTTAAGTCATCTCTGGTTCTTGTCTGGACTCATCACAGCTTTTTATCAAAAAAAATGTACAGTATTTTGGAACCTGTCCTTCTGGGTTATATTTTTACACTGTTTCCTTGAGATAAATGCGTGTTGTCTGTGAAGAAATTCCTCATACAGCAGAAAAGACTCATGATAAACCTGCAGAATTTGCTGAGCAGTTTACTGTTGTTTTGTTTCTGGGAACTGGAAAGAAGACTGTTTGGTATGATGATGAATTCCCAGAAATACATTCCGGTAATTCACAACAATATATCTATCTCTCTCTGTAAGTTCAGAATTGCTGTTATCACATGGAGCATGAACTTCAGCCACAATATTCAACCACAGTGCTAGTATTTAACAACAAGCAAAAACTCCACAAGTAGAAATTCTAGCCAACTACAACCTAAAGGTTTTAAGAAAGCTATTTTGGCTCTTGGTTTCAGGTATTTTTCTTAATTCTGATTCCTGCTTGCTTAGGCAGTATTTCCTGAGCTCCAAGTGCAAGTGTTTTATGGTGCTGTCTGTTTCTAGGTTCTCATGGGACCCAGAAATGAGCTTCCCTTGGAGGCAGTGCTTTGGTGAATGCTGATCTTGTAGTCTGAATTTCAGTAAATATTATACAGGCGTATTTTTGAAGTGAAGGCAGTCATGAAAAAAAAAAAAAAAACCAACAACAAACCAAAGTTATTTCTGCTTCTAAATTCTTAGTTACAGGCAGATTTTTAAAAATCAATTCTTGTGTTCTGTAGTCTGTTCTGATTTTATATAACAGTTTAATAGAAACAGAGATGACAGAATGGCCATGTCTACCTACCCTGTCAGTGCAGGTAGAGACCAGCAGGTATCCAGAGAAGTGTAAGCATGGAGCAAGCATGCAATAGTATTTCCCAAATGAGTTAACTTGGCTGTCAGTGATTTACAGTGCTTTTTTTCAACTGTAAGGACAAAGGAAGGGGAAGGTGGAAGGCACAGAATCAGCTGTACGCTGTCTATACTGGTATTGTTTCCTTGGAGTTGCAGAAGATAGCTGGATTCCATGATATAAAACATGGAAACAAGATTACTGCAGCACTGCAAGCCTGTGGTCCTGTAAGTTTGTAGATGCAGGTAAGTCCTATCTATGGAGAGGATTACACAGGAGATATAATACAGGAAGGATAAGGTGATACTCTCCATCACAGAACTGAGGGGCAGGCTCAAGATTTTAGGACAATGTCAGCCTAAATCTTCTAGAGTCTAAGAAATGTAAGTGCCCTTGAGATACTGGAATATTTCCAATTACCTATCAGTTTATTACTTGTCTGACAAATTCAAAAAAGATTGGGTATGGCAGCTGCTAATGTTCTTTCTAGCCACATGGAGTGTTACAGACACCTTTGTGAAAAAGGAATACTGGCAATTTAAGAAGCCAAACAGTTGAGAAAGCAAATTATTGGCAAAGAGAAAAGTCATTTCCAGTCTTCACAGACCACTTAAACTTTGTAAGAAAGATAGTATTTATAACTGATTTTTACCATTCTATCTTGACAATGATGACATTTTGACCTTGAGAAGAACCCAAAGCAAGCAAAGGACTATTACTGAGCCACTTTTACTCTTATACCACCAACTTCATCAAAGTTATGAGTTTTGCTTCTCTCAGATACTTCACACTCATCGTTGAAGGTAAGCAGTGTGTGCCTTCTTGCAAACTTCTACAGGTAAGTAGAGAAAGCAGCTAGCTCTTTTGAGAGAAGCGATTGTGGTCCAATTTTGCTTAGAATAAGTGAGTAGAGGGGTAGGAGAGGGGCTTTTACCTCTCTTGCTTTACCTTTCTTGCCATACCTGCTCAGCAGAATAGGACTGGTTTAGAAATAGGAACCAGGACCTCTCAGTGCAGTTTCAAGATAACACAGGCATGTCAAAACATTTATTTAATGTCTTTCTACAGGTGGGATTCTGAGCCAGGATCCATACCTGTTTCCCATTTGGGTTCAGAGGTGCTGAAAAGCTAAGTTTAAGGAGCTAGCACTATTCAAAATCACTTTTAGGTGTGCATGAGAGCTTGGTGTCCCAGCCAAAGCCGTACCCTTCCCCTCTGTCTCTTTACACTAACTATTTACTCTGGCATTCCCTTTCCTATATTAAATATATGAATATGCTTTCTCCTTAGAATGAGAATAAATCTGGTTGTGTGTTCATTGTGGCTAATGCCTTTCTTGGCCTCCCCTTTGTAGGAGGAGGGGCTGACTAAGGAGAATGGCTCTGTCCAGTGTAGGCCGCTATTTCCTGGGTACAAAAGCAGCAGCTGGTGGCCAAGCTTGAAGAGATCACAACTGTGAAGAAAATGGAGCCACTCTGGAAGCTGGCTGGGGATTAAAGGTGTGCTGTGAAGTGTTTAGCTCTCAGGAAGAGAGAGCATTGCAGCAGTGGCTATATCCTTTGAGGGGGTTGGTAGTCTTGAGTGTGAAAGTATTTCCTGAAGATCTGAATGTGGACTGTCATCTTCCCAGGTTGAAATGGCAGTGGGAAGAAATGCTGTGTGCTGGTGAAATCAGCATCTCTAATTTCTTCTTGTAACTTTCCATTTCCAAGTGCCAAGAGCTTTCTCCACCTGCGGCTACCTTTTGGTGCAGGTGGCTGCCTGTCCTCTACAATAATTGTTTGCACTGCACTACAAATGGACAGCTAGAACAACAAACAAATGAACAATCCTTTTGGAGCAGGCCAAACCAAATTCTGCTGTTTCTTGCCTTGAGAGTGTTGCGTTTATTGAGCCCTGTAACTTAAAATGCTTGCTAAGAAGATCGTTTTAAGTCTTTGCTTGTGTCCTGTAGGAAGTTCAAGCTTTTCTCTTACTGCACTTTCTCCATCCCATACTGCTATTTCATACACTGTGGGAAGTGCTGCACAAATCAGGATTTGGCTCTCCCATGTCTTTACTCTGGCCTACTCTGACCAATGCTTGTACCACAGTGCTTTTAAGACAGGAAAGACATTAGTGGGCACAACCAGACTTGATTCTAGACTTAGTTGTTGTAAAACTTAGTTGAATCTTTCAGTGTTTGGATTCTAAATCAGAATTGGAAAGTTAAGATGTTTATCTGCCTGCTTTCTAGCTTGTCCAACCTCCACCAGTGAAGAGAGACCCCAATAAAGTAGCGTTCACTGCTTGCTTTTGCTTACTCTGGCACTTCCCACAGCAGGTAATTCCTTCAGCAGAACAGCAGCCCTCCATGTCTCCTGTTTCAGTGGCTTCAATGCTCTCCTGTCTCCTAAATTCCCACCTACTCACTTCTCAGCTCCTGCTGTTGTCTCTGTTGTCTGTCTGGTGTTGCTCTTGGCTAGTGCCATGTTCCTGGGACAAGGGTCCCATCTGGGACATTCAGGCTATGCTGCTCACTGTTCAAGTGAAGGGGATGATGACAGCTCACAGAAAGGCTTTGCAGGCCTGTAAACAACAAAAAATGTTCTTCCATCCCCTAGGTTCTTATTTAATAAGATGAAGTGGTTCTTATTTCATGAAATGAAGTGATACATTTACCTTGGGTAAAAATGCAAAGCCAAAGATAAGGTATGATACACTATGGCTGCAAAGCACTGTTTTGTAGCATATAAAAGGCTTTTAGCATTTCAATTCTCATGTACAGATGCACTGGGTCAGGTTCTGCAATGGTTACAAACAACTCGCCCAAATTACCTCTCCTCCTGTCTGTGCATAGCAGCGTTCACCCATATTCACACAACACAAAGCAACTATTTTGCTGAACTCATGGGTCTTTGGCATGATTACACCCAGCAGACAGCTCCCATGACTTTCTACTAGCAAGGAAAATGCCATTGGGAAAGACAAGCTGGGTGTAAAGACTGCAGGTGGTCAAAATGAACATTTATTGCTGACAGTATAAAATATGTTTCCAAGTGACTTTTAAATCAGAGGAAGAAACTAATCTCCCTGCAGAGCTTTTGCTGGGACTGCAATGCCCTCTGTGCAGTGACCACAGGCAAGAAAACTCCCATCTTCAGAAAACTGGCATGTGCTAAAATGGGGTTAGCCCAAATTAAGTTACTTCTATGCATCTGTTTTGCACTTGAGTGAAGAAGCTGACCATACTTCATCAGCATGAGACTCATTTAAGTACTGTCCTTTTCTTACCAACCTTGATACTTTTTTCACAGTATCTGTCTCCAAACTAAGTGCTAAGATATATACAACAAGCCCATAGCTTTTTTGCTATGCTAACAATATATTTCCAGCTCTCTGTTCTCTACTATATTTTCAGATTTAAAAATAGTGGTTTTTCTGTCACCAAATGCATTTCATGAATGAAATGAAACTTGTCCAGCTCTTACCATGTGCAGAACTGTGAATCTTGGCAAGTATATGTCTACAAGCATTTATTCTGATTTCTTGTCCTAGAGGTGGATGAATGGAATGAGAAGTATATTAAATAACATACTTTTTAACAATTACCACATGCCATACATGTACCAATACCATAAACCATTGAGATGAGTTATAGTGGTATTCCTCATTTAATTTCAGCAGCTTACAGTGCAGATGCCTCCACCTGAGGCAGTCATCTGAACTTAGTTTAGAGCCAAGGGTAAGGTGATTAATCAGGCCCTGAGGCACTGATGATCCTGACCAGCCTCAGCTGGGCTCTTCATTTCCAGTAAAGCTGAGCTGGGAGTCCTGTTGTTCCTTCTTTGAGCTCCATCAGAGTGCTGGGTCTCAGCTCAACTGCTTGGGGCTGGAGGTGCAGATCATCCCAGTCTATGGAGCAACTTCTTGGGTTGACCATGATCCATTTCAGAAGTTATGCATTCATGGAGGTGCATAGCAATTAGGGTTGAAAGGGAATTTAAAGATTATTTAGTCTAATCCCCTCCATGGGCAGGGACAGCCCCTCCAGATCAGGCTATCCAGGGCCCCCATACATACTAATCTTGACCACCTCCAGGGATGGAGCATCTGCAGCTGTTCTGGGCAGCCTGTGTCCTGAAGAGACCAGCAATGG